TTTTTCCAACAAGCTGCAGATGTCTTTATATCTGTGAAATTTTAGACTGATTTATTAAGTAATTTAACTTTTTTTTTTAAAAACTGCCTGTCGACCCACTGTAGCCACGTTTCTATGCACATAGAAGTTTGTGGTTATGTTTGAATGACAATATCTCAGGAACTATTAAAGACGACACCCAGCAGGCTCATACTTATAAAGCTGCCGTCCCTCACACACATACAAATGCACATTTTGAACCTTTTTTGTTTCAAAACTAGACTCATGAGCCATGTTTCTTTTTGATAAACTGGATCTAACTTTTCTGTTCTCCCTTTCATAACATCATGACCCTGCTGTTTGTTTTAAGGTTGGTACAAAAAGTATGCCAAATTAAATGAAGCATACAGACATTATTTCTTTAAAAATCTAGCTTTTGCTTCGTTTTCCTACCTGATAATTCACCAACCAAAGCAAGCTGCTCTTTAATTTGCAGCCTTGTGACCAGTCCAGCTGAGAAGCCAACTGCTAGCCCACCTCAACTAGTAATTATTCTTACAATGAAAAAGTGTGTGTATTCATTATTTGCAGCATGTATTGGTTTAGTTTGTGTCTTTAAAATGCACGACAGGACACTGAGGTAGAACAACACAGACGGCAAGACTGACCGGTAGCCTTTATGGACGAACAGCGAGGGATTCATGCACACGTGTACACAAACGCAACACAAGCAACGATGTCATACAAAGACTTACAGCACCCCCAACTGGGAGACAACACTAACAAAAAGAGACAGAGAGCAGCCCTGTGCGTAAACACCATTAGTTGTGTATCCACATAAATTGGGGGACTCTGCACACACAGGAGCTTATACTTATTACAAGGTGGACTATTTATGTATCCCTCCTCTCTGCAGCCTATTTGTTTCTCTCCTGCTCTGTACTTAGACACTTCACACCCCTTATGTGCGTGTTATGTAGCTTATAGTGTTTGTGTAGTGTAGCTATAGCTGAGCAAATGTTTTCCCACACACAGCCCAAACAAAAGCCAGGTGACACTCGCGCACACACACACACACACACACACATCCACAAACATACAGACACACACCATGAAAGAGGTGCAATTAGAGCATCCTACTTCAATTAACCAGCTCTCTAAACAAATCCACATTAGGCCCCTCCATTGTGGCTGCGCTCGAAAAACAGCCACTTGGGAGAGCAGCATAAAAGCTCCAACTGTATTTCTCCCCGAGGACACATGTGCACGAGTGTGAGTGTGTGTGTGTGTGGCGGCTACACACTGGCACACAATCTGAGCTGTTATGATTGTGGTGCTGATGGGAAGATTGTGCAATGAGAGAGTGAGAGGAAGGCAGAGAGGGAGGGAGAAAATTAGAACCTGTGGCACCGACGTGGTGCGTTTCCTCTCCGCCGTGCCGGTCACTGCCAATTTCTTGTTTATATTTGGATATATTCAATCTTGTGCTTTCTTTCTTTGCCACTGATGAATGAGTAGCGTCACTGTGCAGCAGGCCCTCATTATCCAGAGCAAAGCTGCACACAATAACGTCCATAATCATGATTGTTACCGTCATTTTAACCTGCGGATTTTGTCATTAATTGATTACTCACATATGATACTGCTTAATATTCCACTAAATATCTAAAAAAAAATGACACTCGAGTCCAACACCTACAAAATAATAACAATCCAAAACCAACTCAATTTCAGCAAATTAGAAATACAATCTTTATTTAACTGTTTATCAATTGCATGAATCATCAGTTCATTGCTTGAGCGCTAAATCAGTGTGTTTTCTATTTGACGGCAGGCGAGCAGTGAGCTCGGCCTCTCCATTTATGAGGAAGTAGGACCAAAAAAAGAGAAAAAATCCTTTTCTACACATCTGCTCGTGCTCTCACATTCACCACACGCACCTCTGTCAATCAAGTAATTATGTTCAGGTTAATCTTCAAGATAGTTATGGTGAGGGCGAAGTCATATTTGAGTCTACAAACACAGAAACGAGGGATTTGCCTGGAGGCTACACTTCCTATTCTATGAAGAACGGTATTATTTAAAACTACAATAAGAGAAAGACGATTAATGATGAAATAAAGTCAGAAGACACACAAGTGGAGGGAAATACAAAAGAAAGTCAGGATGTGGTGTGACATCAAGTCTGCGGTACAGATGTTTTCACGACCACATTTAGGTTCACATTTGTAGTTTCTACACAGAGATCAAACTGAAGCAGAGAAGAAACCACCTGGATGATCTAACCTGGATGTGGAGGATCATCACTGGGTGGTGGGAGGTTGGTCTGGAGCTACCACCAAGAGAAGAAACAGCCGTGCTCACAGTGAAAGAGTCCACAGTTTCCAGAACCAGGCTTGAGGTCAGGAGAGCAGCAGGAGCATGCTAGTTATTATCTTCATCATTCACATGGCTGTGCATCAGGATTTAGTCAGCCAAGGCTGCGCTCTACTGTAACATGCTGAACATTTAGCACAAATAACCTGAGCTGTATCCAAAAGGCATGTGAGGTTCACCTTGTCCCACTGTTACGATTACACACAGGGGTTTTTTGGCAACAAGAACACAGTCATCAACATCTTCCTTCTTGCCAAAACAAAATTTAGATAAAAGGTCACCGTTTTGACACCGGTAAGAAGATTCAGCGCTCATTACAAACGGTGCTTCACACGTTTAGATTCTGGGATTTCCGGGGAGTGTCACAAACGTTGCAGAAGCGCTGTGAGCTGCACAACGGAGCTACTTGGACAGGGATGGTTGCCAAAATTAATCAGGTTCGGTTTTTAATTTATAACTTTTTGATCAACCTTCAAACACACACTTATAAAGCCATAATATATTCCCCAGCCTATTGTCACAGATGGTACAGCAGGTTTGATCCCCAGCCCCTCCACAAGTGTCTGAAGTGTCAATCAGGAGCAACTTCAGGTTCAGTGGGAACCTGAAGCCACTCTTGTGTGAGAAATACTGGTAGAAAATATAGAAAAGTGCTATAAATGCAGAGACCACTTATAAAAGTGAAGACTATGCTAACCCTAAAACTAAGTCTTCCTCCTAAAACAGGCTTTCGTGCAGGTTTGAGGGCCAACATGTCCTCACTTTGATGGTCTGGTTCTCACAAAAGTAGCTGGACAATGACACACAAACACACACATGATAAAAGGTCCAGTGGGGCAGCGCTGGGACTTCAGAGAGAATCCATCCAACAAACCTGGTTGCACATAAACCTTCCTCTAATCCCTTCTGTCCCCACTGAGACACACACAAACAGGTTTGTTGTGTATATGTGCACATGAGCCTTCAAAATCCAGATTTTTTTAACAACATATCAGGTCTTTTCTATTGTACCTTTAGAATTAAGAGAAAAAATAGAGAAAAATATAAGGTTGGAATTGAAAGTTTGTTTGAATAAATGTTTTATTTTTATCACTGACATACTTGGGGGTATAAAGTAAGTATTTCCTTTGGTAACAATAGAAAATACAACATATAACATGTACACTGTATGAGTCCTTTAGTTTGTTTCCCAGACATCCAAAGAAGACAGAAAATTCACTCATAGATTGCAACCTTTACAGAAATCCATGCAGCTCTGTGCTTCAGACTGCCTAGCGGCCTCTGCCACCAGTTTAGTCCTTGTTTTCTTCTGAAATCTGGAGGGACATCCTGTTCTTGGTAATGTCACTGTTGCGCTATAATTTCTTCACTTATTTTCGATTACTTTCACAGTGTTCTACGTGCCTTGGAAATTGTTTTGTACCCTCACTTGATCAATGATGAGATTTCATGCTTTGTAAGGCTCTTGTGGACCATAGTTTATAAAGTAGGACGCAGCAAATAAACTAAAGTTTTGGGGGATTATCAGAGTAACTTTAATCGATGACAGTGATGGCGATATAACGTGAGTAACATGTGACATCCCCGGTTATAAAAGGGTGTGAACAACATTGTCATCGTTTTTTTAGTAATTTCACAAGAAAAATGGCACTATTTTGTTCTCCAATGTAAATTACCTAAGTGCTTATCTGTGTGCACAAGGAAGAGCTTTCTATGTTGAGCTCATCGGCTGTATAGTGGCACAAGTATTCTTAAAGGGTTGTTCCATCTAAAATCATCAGCAGCCTTCTGCTCAACCATCTCCAATTCACTTGAAACATGTTTCTTATAAAGCACTGATATCTAAAATTCTATCTGTGAAATTTTATCTTGACATATCAACTACATTCCAAGATATTAAAAAATAAAATTAAAAAAAATTCCCTTCTACCCACTTTCAGCATTTGTTTATTTCACACATTGAAATTTGCAGCCATGTTTGGGAGACAATCTCAAGAAGTATTAAAGATAAAAGCCTGAAATTTTCGCTGTCGTTTCAAATCAGCCAATTGATTCAGAATCTGCAATATTGGATAAGTAGCTCCAACAGTCTCTGATAATGGGGTAGTTGAAATAGGAGAAGAAATTGAGGCCGTCATGAAATCCCTTATCTCCGAGCACACATTAACAAAACCGTTGATCATGCAGCAGATCAGATACTGATATTTTCTGAACTACATGCAGCTGAATGTTACAATAAAACAAAACATATAAAATACTTTTTAAGATAAAAAAAAAACATGATCACAAAAATGAAAAATGGTTAAATTCACTGAATGTTTACAGCTGATTGAGCAGGTATGACAAGTTGTAACACGAAAACAAAGATATTGCGTTGGCTGAAGCGACAAAATAGTTCATTTTTATTATATATATATATATATATATATATATATATATATAATTATTATAGACATTCAGATTTAACCTCTAATCTACTAAATCCTAATTCTCCAAACATCATGCTTGTTGTGAATATTTCTGTGTACAATCACACATAAAGTGAAAGAAAACTTTAAAACCACCTTCAGGCCACCAGGGATCATTTACATCAACCTCACAGTATAAATATAATCTAAATGTTATTGTCATATATGAGGCTCAACACGTGATAATCTAGAGTCATGCAATTATCACTAGACATCTCCATCTCCACAGCTCAGTCGCCTACATCCATCCTGTTCTCCTTCCTCCCCCCGTCTACTGCATGTGTGGACGACAGAGAAAGAAACAGAAAGAGTCAGAGAGAGTATATTTCAGCCTCAGTGGGCAAACACAAAGGTGTGTGGCGCCATGGCCTGCTGTGGACGGATACAGAGAGCGAGAGAGAGTTTGTGTGTGTGTGTGTGTGTGTGTGTGTGTGTGTGTGTGTGTGTGTGTGTGTGTGTGTGTGTGTGTAAGACAGACCAAGACAAAGCCAGGAGATCAAACTGTGAAATGAGCCTAAAACTCATCAGACATCATATGAGTTACAACAGATCATAAATCACAGAAAATCTAAATTTCTTGATATTAAATTAGAATTTGCTTCACTTTTCACCACTTTTAAAAGTCTGACGCCAGATTCAGGCAAACTCTCTCCCACAAGATTAAATAAAACCCCACAGCACAATGTTTGAGGCTAGTTAGCCTCAACAGCTTTCATGTCTTCAGCTCGGAGCCCCAGAGAGATGCTACAGCTAGTTAGTGATTAGGGCAGTCTCTCAGGGTGACACTAGAAAATCAGTTAACTTTCCCCTCAGAGGCCTACACGCGCTCACATTAGCATCTAGCACAGCCATTAGCGTCAACACCTACTTTAGCATCAGCACAGCCAACTGACAGTTAAAGGCCCCTGTGGGGCTATTTAGAGACGTCTCCAGACAGAGAGGGAGACTGACAGGATGAAGAAGCGACTACAGCAGTTTGTGCATTAAAGCTGTATAGTGAGTCACAAAGCAAGTTAATGGCTCTTTAGCTAAATAGCAAACACATTAGCTGTTGCAGCAAAGACATGTTGACAGGCTGAAGGCTGACAGGCAGCTGCTCCACCTCTCCGTTAGGGCCTTTTGACAAAGCAGTCAAAAGCACTAATGACTCCCATGGGCTGTATTGATTTATCGATAATTATCAGTAACTCTGCGTACTTACAGTGACGCGACAGACAAAGTTATATTTAGCACGTCCGCTTGACGCTGTAAATTAAACAGGAAATGAAGTGAAGCTACTACATCAGGTACTACATCAGGAGGAAGTACACGGCACTGCAGAAGGATGAGGACCTTCTACAGTCTATTACAGGATCTATGTGACAGAGAAAATGCAGATTACATGGAGATGTGCTGTTTCAGCACCACGGACAGTGACACGGATTTATCAATGACCAACACCCGCTGGTATTCAGGCAGCACAACACAGTGAGATGGATTTGACCAATAACTGGCTATACCTCAACTCAGTAAGACAAAGAAGAGACATTTATGTCATCTGAACCCAACCAAAGAAAGTGTGACTGAATGATTTTAGTTTGATGTTCAATACAGCCATATAGCTGCACAATCAAGCCACATAAACCCCCACACTACGACAATCCACACGTATGAAAGTAATATGTGCACAAGCAGCAACAAACACGAGGCCACGTAGCCAGAATCTACGACAAACCACGTCATCACAGTTACTGAATATTAGACAGCTTACTAATGTTGACACCCAGCAGCGGACAGTTAGTGAAGGCAGCAGCAGAACACTTGCCAGAATTCAAGAGTTGAGTTTGAAGTTTAAAAGGAGAACACATGAGGACGACTCTTCCTCTGCTCTTGCTCCTTTTGCTTTAGTGCACCTCAATGCACTTCTTCCCATTTCAGCCAGAGCAGCTATTCAAACAAAAAGCACACATGCACCAGCACAACAAAACTAGGTGTCATGTTTTATCATATGAAACCCACATGCACTGAGAGAGATGCCAAATGATGGTTTCATTTCAGAAATGCTCTGATCTGGACTTTTATTACCACCTTTATTATTTAAAAAAAAACAAAAAAAAACAAAACAGAAATACAGCAGACAGGCAGGAACTCAGAGCAGCGTGGGCCTAAATTAAGTGAGTACCAAGGAGGTGGAATCAATGACGATACAAACAGACACGATGCTCCTGCTGCTGCTTTTGAGACAACAACACCTTAGCAGTGGTGGGGACCATCTTTACTCGGCAGAAGTTGGGACAGTCTAGACACACAAACAAACTTTCCTGAAATGATTCAACTGAACGTGGCAGACTGGGCTCAAGATCGGCCCGTTTGTAACTGGACAGAACCATAGACAGCCACTCCTTCTACCCCTGACTTGCTCCACTACAGCTGGGACGTGTTTTTCAGAGGTAGGAGCTGCAGCCTTGGGGCAAAACCTAAGCGGATGCTGCTGCAGGTAACATAAAGGTAAAGTTTTGTTCTTCTGCGTTAATCAACAAAACAATTCCCTCCCAAACAACTTCTGTGGTGTAAAGACAAGAAAAAAATGGAAAAATCTATTTTAAAGCTGCAGAATTTTTAATTTTTATTCTCTAAGCAGCTACATCAGATGAAAATGGCGAAACCGGTGCAAAGCAAATGAACACGGCAACACAAACTGAGTGTTTGGAGTGAAGCCAAAGCCTATTCCCATATGGCCATGTAGCCATTTACCATAGCTGCTCCGCTCCCCGACCAACACGCTAATCACATTAATCATCTATTTGTTTTAAAACATCATTAGGGACGTTCACACACAGACTTGCACACGCGTAATCAAACACACCCGCGGCCTTTGGAAGTACACAGTGGTGCACTTGACGGGTACAAGAGGGAGAAGAGCCAAATTAACTATCATACACTAATCACTTAGCTCTCTAATGGAAGCATACTCAGCACATTTGTGTTTGTGCATACATTAATGGCACACACAATGTATTGACAAACAGGGTACACATGGACGGTTATTATAAACACAGTGAGATATTGTGCATTACTCCGAGCACGTGCACATTATAAAGCAGCGTTTTGAAAATGTGCGTGTGTGCAGCGTTGAGTAAATTTGCACCACTCTCATGTGCTATTGTGCAGTTATGCCCAAGGAGGTTTTCATCATCGTGGCTGCAGCTGATGATGTAAAAAAAAAAAAAAGGCTGATGCAAAAGATTCTATACTAGAGTCTGCAAACAAAAATAAAACGCTGTAAGTAGCTATAATGAGGCTTTTCTTTCAAGGTTTTATAGCTTTGAAGTAATCATTATGCATGAGCACTGAGTGAAATGTTTTCCTCAAGGTAATATAAAAAATAGATTTTTCTTTTTTCTAGAAAGTGAAAAAAAGAAGAATCTCATAATTAACAGAGTTGGCATAGCAACTAATAACTCACAACTACCTTACGGAAATTAACAGTGCAGCTGGACCGTGTCTTTGTCCGGACTCCTTAGCTTTTAATGGATTTTTGTGTATGTTTTGATTTCAGGTGTAAAAAGTCTATTGCGTGAACAAAAGCAAACGGAATGAGTTTACTGTGATACGGCCTCCTCGACGCCATGATGTTCCAATTGTTAATCACCCCTCAATGATATTATATACTCCCCTCTCACATACTCTCTCTTTGTGTGTGCGTTACATGGTTGGAGGAGCCAGTGTATGCTGAGCTTAGGGCACCATAGGGGACATTGCCAGGAGGGGCATATAGGGGTTGGGTGACTTAAATGGAGAAAAATCCAATAATTGTATCCGTCCAGAGGGAGGGCGAGCTTTTAGGGAGGGGAGCGACCTGTTATTACTCTTTCTCTTTTCTTTCTCTCTTTCATTTCATCCTCTAATTCTAGGGTGAGGGGGTAACCGAAGAAAAGGAGGGAACGGAGTGGAGAGACATGAGGGTTACAGGCTGAGCTTGCTGTTAAAGTATGTCCTTGTAATTAGCTGAGTATTAGCAGTGGTGACAATGCAGGAGCACTGGGCAGGGAAGCACCCTTTAACGCTCTACTCATTTCCTGAACTTAATCCCCACCGCTTAATGGCAATAGTGCACAAGTGCACACGCATCTGGACACACACACACACACACGCATACGCACACACACACACGGGCTCTCAGTCATGCACAAATTCACATAATCAACTGCTGGCTATAATGGGAAAGGACTCCCTGTGCAAAGCTACACCCAGCAGCTCACCTTCAATCCCTATTGTGCTCAAAGTCATAATGATGGTTTACTGCAGGGAACTTCAGCATGAACGCGCACGAGTGTATGCGTGTGTGTGTGTGTGTGCGTGCATGTACATAAACACTCACACCCGCATGCGCACATTAGCATCAAGTTGTGCTTAGATATAGTGTGGCAACTGTTTACTTCTCGAGTGTCAAGAAGCTTCTAACACCCCGCAGTACTTGAGGCAAGTCCCCGTTTCTTGTTTCCTCCAGTGAACGGATGGAGGAGACAAGGCTACAGAAGCAAAAATCAATTACTTTCAATTAAGTCAACCGGCAACTCTTTCAATGTGCCCTCAAGCCACTCAAGTCTTGCTTACAATACCTCCAACCCCCCACTCCTACGCCACAAAGTGACACACACACTGCATGCACACACTTTAAAAAGCCACATCCACTTACTGTGTGACGGTCTTTTTGTGTTTAGTGGTTAAATTATAGACCTAGAAACAATTACTGTGGCAATGGCTAAAAAAAAATGCTCTTGAACAACAGTTGAAGCATTTCAGTTTGTCATTTTTATCCAACTGTACTGAACTTGCGTAGTATCAAATATATACCAAAGGCATTTAATTATGCTCGGTGTAATTACATTTAATCTCATAAGTGATTATTTATTATGGAAGGAAATGCTTCCAGTATCAAAACCAAACACTAACTGCTTGAGGTGAACAGTAACTTTGAGGAGCAGTGGGACTTCTCACAATTTCTTGATCACGTTTTACTCCTTTGTGTTGCATGAAGCCTGTCATGTACATATAAAAAGACACTAAAGCTGAGTCTCTGTCACACCACAGCAAGTTTAACAGCAGCACACGACTGAAACTGTACCGCAGGATCCAGTACAAAACCAATCTACGTGTGCAAAACTGTTGTTTTTGTCATTTAACACGAGGTCCAAGTTATTTACAACACCTTCGGCCATCTTCTCAGTCTCTCCTGCAGGACGTTAGTGGAGTAGGTGTTGCATATGAGGAAAAATATATAACACCCAGCTG